ATACAAGCACCTGACTGGGGAAAGATCTTCCAAGCTCACACAGTCTGTTTCTTGCTGCCCTCTGCTTTCAGAGGCCATCTACAGTTGCTAAGTTAGGTTCTCCAAGATGGCACTATGGTTCCTCAAAGCCAGCAAGGGAGAAGGGCTCAGCAAGACAGAGGCCACGTAACAAATTGCCTCAAACATTAGTGACTGAAGACAAGGGACATGTATCATCTCATATTTCCTGGGTCCAGAATCTAGAGCAGCTGATCAGGGAACTCCTGATTCTGGGTCTCTTACAGGCAGGCAGCCAGCACTGTTGTCATCTGAGGCTTGACTGGGACTGGAGGAGCCGCTCCTACACTTATTCATGTGACTGTTGGCAAGAGCTCTCTCAGTTCCTTGCTACATGGGCTTCTTGATAGGCTGTTCACAGTGTGGCAGATGGATTCTCCACACCAGCAGAACAAATGATGAGAAGAAGAAAGAGATAGAGAGACAGAAAGAGAAGAGAGAAAACAACCAAAACAGAAACTGCAGACTTTTGTAACCTAATATCTAAAGTGACGTAATGCTACGTCTGTGTATTCCATTGGTCAAACAGACCAACCAGGTGATCACTGAGAGCCATTTTGGAGGCAGGCTCCCATAGTACATACAGTAAGTTAAGTGCTGTCAAAAAGCCCGTAAGTAACCTACAAAGCATGCTTGTTGTTAAGTGGCGTTGAGTCGGTTTCAACTCATAGCGACCCATTATAGAGCTTCTGAGGAGTGGTGGTGAGTTTGAGCTGGTGACCTTGTGGTTAAGCAGTCCAGTATTTGTTTATCCTACTGCACCACACCGTAAGTTGATAAATCAGTTTATACGCTCAGCACTGCCAGCTTTTTCTCTAGTGTTGGCATACACCACTGTTTGGCTGAGTGCTAGTGCTAAAGGAAGTTGTTGACTTGAGTTAGGGCCCATGGTTGGTCCAAAAATAAATTAAACAGTGAAATCACATTTGGCCCCAGAGTGTGTGTAGTTCAATTCAAATAAATGAAATGCAGTCTGATGGAATTCAGCGAAGCTTATCATACCTTATCGTAGCTTATTGATGACAACTGCCACTTAAATTCATGTGGCTGATTCTTTTTCAGTTAAATAATCACCAAGCACCTCTCTGATTACAATTTGACTTACAAATTGGGGGACAGTGTAGTGTAGGGAGGCAGGTTGTGGATGCTCTGAGCTAATCCAGTCCATGTTTACAATTGGAAAATAGCAAATTGGCATTCTAGTTTATACATCTGTCTCTCTACCTTTGGTTAATGTGAGTTTGCCCCTTAGTGTACTTACACAATAGGCTTCTCCTCCTGTACCCCTAAGCCTCTGTACAGTGATGAATTTATCCAAGTAAAGTGACCCTAGAGAAAATTGTCTGAGTAGCCTGAAAGCCTTCTCCAGATATAGCAGCTCTATGTACCACACACAGAATAGATATACCTATGAGCTCCCTGCATTTCTCAGCTCATTTGCTGTTAGATGGGCCTCTACAGTCAGTTAAGGGCAACAGTTCTGAGAAGAAATGACTTCTTCCATACTTGTATCATGTTGCAGCAACCCTGAAGACCACAGTTTGAGATGGCAAGGTCCAAAATCAGCCTGAATTCCTGCGGAAAACATAAGGAACAGGGCCTCCCCTGACCCCTGCTAGATAATGGATAGGAACAGAAATAAATGTTGTATTAATCTACTGTGGTTTTGTAGTGATTTCAAACTATTAGCACTGGACTGCTAATCACAAAGTCAGCAGTTCAAACCCAACACTGATCCTTGGAAAGCCCGTTGTTGTTGTGTGCCATGGAGTCGGTTCTGACCCATAGCGATCCTGTACAGGGTTTCTGAAAGCTGTAAATCTTTATGGGAACAGAAAGCCTCCTCTTTCCCCCACGGAACAGCTGGTAGTTTCGAACTGCTGACCGTGAGATTAGCAGCCCGAATCATAACCACTACGCTACCAGGGACCCTATGAGTCGGAACCGACTAGATAGCATTTAGCAATAACAGTCTAGCCCAGTACACCATGGGATGCCAACTTTGCCGGGAGTACTTTTTCAGCCAATGGTAGCATGAAATAGAGTGGTGGGTTATATAAGCATCCCTCCCAGTCCTTCTGCCCATTCTTAGTTAAGAGCAGATTAGTCAGAGGTAGGCAGAAGCTAAACATGCAGGAAAAGGTTAGAGGGAACTAGAGTCTTAAAAACACTCTTATGTTTTCCCTCGTCATGTGGCACGAAACTCACTCAACACAGTATGGTACTCCTAGAGAAGCTTTGTTCATCCTACCCAAGATGTTTCATTTCCTCTCATTATCTGTTCAGGTGTATTTGTCTTGCCCCACCTCTCCTTTTCCTGCGGCTACTTTCATACTGTACGACCACTTATCAGGCTGACCAAGTAAACAGTCAGTTGACTCGACTGTCTGTTGATAAACAGGCAATTTCAGAAATAGCTTATAAATTTGAATATGATTTTAAAAGCTTGCAAGCAGCCATCCGTGATACAATAATTAGTCCGTATTCACCTGGGGCAACAGAGAAAGGAGGAGAGTCAGGAATAAGAAGAGGGAACGGAATGTATGGCTAATTGCTTCTGTGAACAACTGCCTCTTTTGTCAAGAGACCAGAAGAACTGGATGGTGCCCAGCTACCATTAATGAGTTTTGGGCTTTTTTAAGTTTATAAAAAGATTCTATAGAAGAATCCTGATCAAAAGGGGGGAAATGCAGAACAAAATTTTAAATTCTCATGAACTCAACTTTCTGGATAAATCCCTGGAACTATTGCCCTGAGATAGTCTTTAAAACTTAAATAAAAAATATCCCATGACGTCTCCTTCACACCAAAGAATCATTTAAATTAACTAGTAAAAAAATGAGCATTTTACCCTTATGAGAACTATCTACATGGACTCAAAAGGTCAGAAGTTTGAACCCACCAGCTGCCCCATGGAGACAGATGTGGCAGTCTGCTTCTATAAGTATATACAGCCTTGGAAACTCTATGGGTAATTCTACTCTGTCTTTACAGGGTCACTTTGAGTTGGAATTGACTCAATGACAATGGATATATGGGATTAAAGTGACAATAACAACTCTAAAGATAAAATTGGAATCTTAGGTGGCAGTGAGTTTATGCTAATGGGGGAGAAAGAACTCAGAAAAGGAGGCTGAGAATGTGCATTAGAAAGGAGGTAGCCAAGGCCACTGAACTGTGCATGCGGAAAGTGTTGAACTGTCTCCACATGTACAAATATGTAGAACAAAATATGTTTTGTTATGTATATTCTCAACAGCAACAACAAAATTAAAACCTTAAGAAGAACTGAGCATAAATTTAAGAGAGAAAATCCAGGCTCTTTAGACTGTGCATTGATATAAAATGATACTTACTTGGTGGAAACCCTCCAGGCATGTCCCACTGATGTGTTGTGACGAGTTGTGAGGTGTGGAGTGGGGGAGAAGAGGTAATTGGTGACAAATATGTAATCAATGAATCTGGTCAACTATTTCATTGTAAATTAGGAGAAACACAAGCTTTCTGCTATAATGAATTCACTCTTACACATTACAAGTTTTCTGCTATAATGAATTCACTCTTACATATTTTAACAAAAATAAATCAAAATAGGAAACATGGCAGCAATTGAAGTTTAAAAAAATGTTTAAGTTTCACATTCAGTTTTTGAGATGGTTAGGAATTACCATCAGTGAGCTCACCTTAAGTGAACACTCTTAATAACACGAAAAATTCCCAACTCAAAGTCAGCTCTGGATATCCATCTAGTACTGCACATTGAACTGAATGTAAAGTTACATCAAAGCCCATCTTACTGAAGTAAAAGAAGAATGTCTTTGAAGTCATCACTCTAAAGCCACACACATATCAGGAAAAACATTAAAAGGTTACATTACTTTTTTATTGTTTAACTTGAATAGTACAAGAAGTAGCCTAAAGCGCTTAGTTTTTTCTCTACATTTCGTTCTGATTCTTAGTTATTATACATGAATTCAACAATAAAGAAGGTAATTTTTAGATACAATAAATCACCTTGAATCATACCACTTTAAATCACGTAACTACTTTTACTTTTCTATCCTTGTCCATATACATTCGCAGTCCTCCAGAGATGCATCACAGCAATTGATGACATTCTACAGTGGACTATACTTTTCCTTATTTGTATCACATCATTAGATATTTTTCTATATTTCCACATAATCTATTGGGTCTTTCTAATGGCTGCAAAATATTCTATCAGGTGCTGTCACCTAAATTTAAACTGTTTCATCTCACTCCTCAGAAACTTACTCAGTTTAACCATAAGTTAGAACTGACTTCACAGCACCTCACAGCAACCATGCATATTTTAAAATGTGGTGGCTGTGTGCTACTGGGTTGGTTCTGACTCATAGTGATCTTGTGTAAATCTTTACAGGAGCAGAAATTCTCATCTTTCTCCCGCACAGCGACTGGTAGATTCAAACTACTGACCCTGAGGTTAGCAGCCTAGCTTGTAGTCCACTAAGCTACAAGGGATTTAAAGTCCTTAAAATTTTTAATTTAAAATTTAAATGTTGTTGTTGTTAAGTGCCGTCAAGTCAGTTCCGACCCATAGTGACCCCGTAGAGGGTTTCCAAGGAGCGACTGGTGTGCTAGAACCACCAACCTTGCAGTTCAAACGGATTTTGCAGTCTAGCACATTAATCCACAGCACCACTCCAGAACTCCTCTCTGATTGGTAGTCGTAATCAAAAGAAGTGGTGACATTATTCTTTGCTACTGGTCACATTTTAATTCTGTTCACAGGTAAAGCCAAAATACAATTCAGAAGAATTCTTAAGTCTCCATTAACATGTGAAAATCAACTATACTGCTATGCAGATTTGCTAAAGGCAGCCTGTTACTTTTTTTTTTTTTTTTTTTTTTGCAGGCAATACTTAGTGGTTAAAGATAGCACCATCTCAGCTCCAGCATCTTCAGGCTGTCAGCGTGCCCTCTAAAACAATAGCAGCACCTCCCTTAATGTCAACTCGTCCGTCAGCACGCACGGAAATCACCAGTTCACCGCCTCTGGGAGAACACTGAAAGGCTAGAGAGACCAGAAAACAAGTCACACGCTGAGGTCATTTCCCCTCTCTAATCAACAGAACAGAGTGAAACATCTTATGACAAGCCCTACCATCCTCCAAGGTCAGTTTAAGAATAAATGCGTTCTTTGTTCATGGTACTGCCCACCGTCCTTCTCCTGAGGACTGAGAGGCCACAAATGCAGTCAGGTCTATAAAATACTCAAGTCCTCTTCTTCCCTTCCGGAACCTTCTGCTACCTCCTACACTGTCCCAGGTACACCCATGGCAGCTTCCTCCCAGTTCTGTAGGAGGAAACATGGGTGTGTGGAAAGATCCAAGCACAGACTAGACAGTGTTTTGTTCCATTGTGACAGCTCAGAAGTGAAGCACTCAAGGTGTTCTGGACCCTCCTGAAAGGCCCCCTCTTCCCAGATTGGAATGTGATCATGATCGCTGCGCTTTGCTGCAGCTACGCATAAGGTGGAAGTTAAGACCAGGATTCCTACACTCATAACATCCTCAAGCCACCATGTGGGCCAAGCACACAAAAGAGATGGAGCCTCTGCTTTTCTGTGCTGAATACCTAGGGAGTAATAGATTCACTAAGGAAAGAGACAGCCTCGCTGCCACCCCCAAATCAAGGCCTAACCCTCCCTCTCAGTAAGACCTCCATCCTTCAGGGTCAGACTCTTACTTATGATTAGGGACGCATAACTTCCAGTGACTGCAGTCTCATTTCTGTGCCCCTGAGAAATACGTTAATCACCCAAGGACTTGATTCCAAAGTAATTGGTTTTATCCCATAAGCAGTGTTGTTGAGGAAAACTTGATGATCATCAATGACTACCCAGTCTCAATCTGTCACATTGTAAACAACTTTTCTCTGTCATGCTGTTATTGTTAGCTGCTGTTGTGTTGGCCCCAGACTCAGGGTAAGTGAGCACATGTACAGTAGAACAAAACGCTGCCGAGCCCTGCACTGTTTCCAGGATCCACTGCAAATTGAACCTTCATGATCGTAAGGTTTTCACTGGCTGATTTTCAAAACTAGAAGTCTTTCTTCCTAGTCCAGCTTAGTCTGGAAGGTCTATTGAAGCCTGTTCAGCACCATGGCAACCATGACAACAGGTGGTAGTTGAGTGTGAGTTGCATTGGCTTCCAATCATACGTAGAAGGTGAGAATTGCACCACTGAACCACAAATACCCCCACTCTGGAGGCCCCCACACAGTTTTATTCAATAACCGTCTATGGGAAGGAGCCCTGGTGGCGCAGTGGTGGAGCCTGTAGGTTGGTGGTTCAAACCCACCAGTTGCTCTATGGGAGAAAGATATTATCAGTTGGCTTCTGTAGAGAGGTCTGCCTTGGAAACCCTGTGGGGCGACTCTACTCTGTCCTACAGGGTTGCTATGAGTCAGAATTGATCCAACACCAGTGGGTTTGGGTTTGAGTTTGGGGCAAACATTTATTAGGCACTTATTGGATTAGAGGATTCCTGGCGTGGCACTGTAGGGTTAGCACTGGACTGCGAACCACAAGGTCAGTGGTCCAAGCCCACCAGCTGCTCCTCAGAAATGCTATACAGGGTCGCTATGAGTCGGAATCAACTTGATGGCACTTAACACACCAACACTGCATTAGAAGGGTCTGCAAAAGGGTGGGTATAGAGAATGGAAGATGTTTTGGGTAACAGCTTAAGGATAAAGGACATTTTTTAACTTTTTATTTTCATGTGACTTATACATGGCATTTCATTACATTTTCAAATGGATCAGACATAGGCAAAGGAGCACCAGCTTACAGTTGTTGTTGTCATTATGTGCCCTCGAGTCAGTCTGACTCCTAACAACCCCATGTGATGACTAAAACTACTCCATAATCTCTACGTCAGCACACTGTGAGGTCTTTCTCCCTCAGACCTACTGGGTGGGTTGTAACCGCAACCTGTCAATTAGTAACGGACTGCTTTAACCATTGCGCCACTGAGGCGCCTTAGCTTAAAGTTAGGCAAATAAAAAAGAAATTGGAAAACAGCAACCCTACCACGCATTTCTTTCTTCCCAAGCTTCTGGGACCAGTAGCTACTGAGAACCGTATGTGCCGACCCTTCAAAGAAATGAGAAGTTAGAAGTCAATCCCAAGGACCAGGTGGTGGCTTCGTAACCACTGTATCCACAGTTACCATCCACTGTGCAAAATCATTCTCGTTTGACTCTGTCTGTGACGACTTCCTCATTATCCTGGCTGGGGATACAGCACAGAGTATGGAGTGAGGAAGTATAAAGGTGGCCTCAGAATTCATGGATAAGTTCTTTCCAATGATGTCTGCAGTATGCCCTGCACTCTCTGAAGGCTGGGTTAAACTGCAGGTTCGTTTGGTCAGCCCCTGGTGAGGATATCAAGGGCTTTGCTTAGATGCTTCTACTTCTTTCAAGTTAAAATCTTCCTTTTGCCCCAAAGGAGCATGTGCAAGGAAATGAGGGAACTGTGACCAGGTCGAATTCTCCACTAAGCCAGTATTGCCTGACTTTTGAAATTTCCACTTAGCTAACGAGGTATTTCTCAACGTGATTGTGCTCTAGGTTTATATCAGAGAGTATCTTTTAAACTGAACAAAATGTAAGGTAATCATGGATAGGAAAGGCTTTGAGGGCGAGAAGGTGGGGACTGAAAGACCCCTCCTCGTGGGGACTGAAAGACCCCTCCCCTGGGAAAACTTAAATCTGGGAGGTCAGGTAGGGTAACCCCCTGTCCTGGTTTGCCCAGGACGGTGCTGGGTTTAGCACTGAAAGTCCTGTATCCCAAGACACATGCTCGGTCTCAGGATAACTGGGCTGGCTGGTCACTGTTGTCCAAAGACTGTCATGCTCTAGAAGAACATTATAGGAGAAAACCTGCCCTCTGTGCCAATTACTACTTGGGTGCAAATGTGCTCAGAACCTCTGTTCCACAGGGAAGGGTAGAGTTGGAGGAGCAGGATGTCTTTAGGCATTTTCACCTGCTGAACTTTGCATTTCATGTTTCTTGTTCCTTGGGGAGTAAGTCAAGGTCTGAAACTATCTGACAGTTTCATCTGTCCCTGCTGCCACCCACTCCACCAGTCCCTTCTTCAAGCACCCCTGCCCTTTTGCTGCTCAGCACATTGCTCCCAAAGAGGGTGAAAGGATACCCCTGCCCATCTATGGTTTCATCCTCTGCTTCAAATGGGGTGGAGATTCCCAAACCCACCCCACTCCACTTTAGGGGCAGGCCCAGGAAAGGAGAAGGGGGAAGAAACATTATTCCTGTTCCTATTTCCCACCTGCAACCCAGAAGTTTATCTTTCACAAAACTAGACGTCAAAGGTACCGCAGTAACATGATGATGACAGGCCTGTCACTGAAAAGGACTTAGGGTTTGGGACGTCTATGGGAATTGGCCTCTAATGTTTACAAATTGCCAATCTGGAAATGCTGGCTGAGGCAGCCAATTTCTTTGTTATTATTAAGACAACTAGTAGTTTACAGGAGTCCCAGTGTGGCGCTGTAGGATAAAGTACTGGACTGCAAAATGGGTTTAAATTGCAGCATTGGTGGTTCAAACCTACCAGCCGTTCCTTGGAAACCCTGTACAGGGTCTCTATGAGTCAGAACCGACTCCATGGCACTTAACAACAATAACAAATCATTTACCAGAGGCAGATGGGATGAAGAGGGAAAGGAGGACACAGTACTTAGGGGACACTGAGCTTTTGTTAAAGATGATGGTTTAAAAATATATATATACTAATGGTCATTGGGTATTTACCATGTGCCAGGCACTTAACATGCATTGTGTTGTATGTTAGGAGGGAAATGAGACTAAAAGGTTAAGTAACTTGTCCGTGGTCAAGAGCCAGAAAGCTCAGATGGAAACCCAGTCTGCCTGACACTAAGCTCCAACCCTGCTATCCTGCCTCCTGTTATTTTGTGTTTTTCATATGTGACTTCAGTGAAGAGGATGGAAAGGAGAGAAAGAAACAAAACCCCAGCAACCTGAAAAGGCATTGAAGGGCACTTAATAGCTATGTGTAACCCTCCCTGAACCCAGGTAAAAACATACCTGTGACAGGGTCTTCAGCCACACCAACCCATGGTGCAAAATATCTGGAGTAAAAGTCAAACGCTTGGGTCTGCCCACCAGGCTCTCCTCTTAGGGTGAGAATGAGTCCTTTCACCTTCCCGGTGTTTTCAGCTTGCAGCAGACTCTGTGTGTTCACTTTCAGCTCCTCCAGAAATGCCCTTGTTCATAAATGAATGGATCCAGATAAATGAATTTCACAGAAACTGTCAAACAGACCAGGGTGCAGCTGGTCCCAAGCAGCTCAGCAGGAGGGAAGGAAGAGCAAGCATAAGAAACTCCAACTGATAAATCAGACTGACTGGGGACAGCACAGCCGGACCACATCCAAGCTACATACTGGGTGCTCAGCCCTCCCACTTGTACTTACGAGGCCAGAACCGTTTTACCTGTCGTAAGTATCACTGAGCCGTACAAGGAGCTTCCGGGTATCTGGGGAATAGCAGATGTCCTGGACCTGAGTGTCACCGATGGCAATCTGTGATGACAAACCAAAAACACCTCAGGAGTGGCCCTGGGACAAGTCCTTATCCCTGTAACAGGGAGCAGCCCCTCAGTGAACATCTGCTCTGTGCCAGGCACACCCGTTAGTTCAATTCTGGCCCTCAAGATGTTGCCCAGGTAAGGCTACCAAAGAGACTGCTGAAGAGCCCTTCAGTGTACCATCTGTGAATCTCAGAACACAGCCCTTCCTTTCCAGTATCCACAAGTGCTTACAACCTGCCTCCATACATACAACTCCTACATGTAAGTATTTTGCCTACAGGTAAGGAGAAAGAGTTAGAGAGGCCCAGGGTTTTATACACACACACACAAAAAAAAAAAACAACAACCTTACCCCAGGTCTGAGTAACCCATGAGCCTGTTCTGAATCACTATGATCTTTCTCACTGTTTTTAGAGACAGGGCATCATACCAGCCTCTTAGAGTTGTCATGAGGATTAAATAAAATAATATATGGAGAGTATCCCACAGCAGCAACTACAACATTCGACACAGAAGGGCTCAGGCAGGCAGTTTGATTGGAAGTATAGACTAGCAGACTCGTCTTGAGGCTTTGCTTGGCATCACTTAGAGTGTATATGACAGAACAGTAACATGCAACATTCTCCAGAGATACCTTGATTTGCCCAAAAGGCTGGACATAATCTTGTTCATATTAAACAATATTGCTGGGGTGTGTGTGTGGAAGGCGTGTTAAAGAGGAGTGTTAAAGAGGATCAGGGAGGGACAAATTAGGGCTCTCGTACCATTCCTTGGTGGCACCTGAAGCTACTGAGCAGAGCAGGTGATAATAACACTGACAGGCAGGCAGAAGTGACTTCAGGTATGTATGGCAGGTACAGGTGCCTTCAGGAGCTTTAATTCATGTTTCGGACCAGTTTTCACAAGTTCGAGTGATCAGGAGTCCCTCTGCCTCAAGCCCTGCCTGGTCCACCTGCGTCTGTGACCACAGTTGACCAACATGCCTTCTCTAGAAACAGAAACTCCTGCAGCCAGGTCCCTACGTCTTTCTAATCCTGCCCTTCTCTGTGGGCACTCATGCCAATTTTACAGTTTAGCTCTCATCTGGGAATCTTATTGACTCCTAGGGAGGAACCCTAAATGACAGCACTCACAACCAGTAACCCTTTATTATGCCCATTTTGCAAATGCTGACCCTGTGTCTTAGGTTAGGCTAAGTTCGTCCCACCATGAACAAGGTCCACAATAAGAACAGTTTCCATTTTCTCACCAACATGCTTAAAGCAGTTCATTTGTAAAGTTGACGTGTCTTTTGATACTCAAGCCATAGACGGGACTGAGTGTAACATCACAGTCCATGCAGCTTGTTTATACTCTTTGAAAGCTTAGATAAATGCATAAAAAGCTCCAGAGTCTATAAAGGCTGTAGTTGAAAATTCACTGAGAAACACCCAGTGGTGTCCACAGAAGGGTTTATGGAATGATCTTTTCTCAGATCAGCACTTGGCCCTGATTCTGAGCAGAGTCTTGCATTTTCTGCACACTAAGTATTTCTCATCTGCAGGCTGCCCTGGCCCTCTAAAACCTCCTTGGGACAACTGTAGCAGTATTTATAACAATAATACTAATGGAGTCTTGGTGTGGGACTATGGGATAAAGCACTGAACCACAAGGTTAGTTTGAATCACAAGATTGGCAGTTCAAACTCACCAGCCATTCCTTGAAAACCCTACACACAGAGTTTCTATGAGTTGAAACTGACTCGACAGCACTTATCTACTCCTATTACTACTACCTCAAGGCGTGAAAGCAGGAATCAAATGGAACAATTTATGAACACATAGCACATGGTCCTGCACAGAGGGGGGCCTTCAAATAGCTCCATTTTTATTACTATCATTAATACTGTGGTTGCTGATAGTGCTGTCGACTCAGTTCCAACTCATAGAGACCCTGCAAAGGGTTTCCAAGGACAGCCAACCTTGCAGTTAGCACCACACCAGGACCCCATTAGTATTACTGTTATAAATATTGCTATCATTATTATTAATGCCATAGAGCCTCCATCAGTATTTGGTCCTGTTGGTCAAGGTACCCATGCTTGTCCTGTCTCCTCCACCAAAGCACAGCCCTCCCCACCTCAGTCCCATCTTCTATCGCAATCAAGAGCACCAGAAGCTTCCACAACTTGTTTGCATGGAACAACCCTTTCTGTCAGAAATCCCCAGGTCTCATGCCTGAACTTGTACAGCCATGCCCGAGCCCCATTCCTGGCCCCTTGGAAGAGGATAGAAAGTCAGCACCCCTTTGACTGTGTGAAGGTTGGTCCTTTCACAGAGGATGTTGTTTTCTTACTCTTACTCTTTCTCTCTCCCTTTCAACTCTACCCGTTCTCCTTTCTACCTCAGCTGCCATGCGACAGTCTCTCCTCACTCACCTTACCAGAAGGCTAATATGCTATCAACCAATAGTCGAGGAGACTGGCCAGCTTCCTCACCAAATGGATTCATTATTAAAATTCAGACCTGAAACATAGCACACTTAGATTGGATCATTTATATGGGTAGGAGGCCTGTGTTTTGAGATCCAACGATACCAACCTTTGGCGTTTGAACAATAACAAACAACAGTATCATAAGAGCTCAGATTTGATTTACTCAACCAACCTTGATCAAGTCTTCTACTTCATGGAAGTCCTGGATGGGGAAAAAATACAAAACCATTTTAAAACAGGCAAGCTGCTGGCTGTCTACAGTTTATGGCAGTAATTAAAAAGAACTGACCTGGGGGTGAGCTGGGTAAAGAGGCAAGTCCAGGATAATTCCATCCTCTGCTCTTCTGGCCTTTAGTTCCCCACTCAGAGTGACAAAGGTTAAAGTGCTATTCACATTCTCTGGCCAAAAAAGAGAGTCTTATTTTGTCAAGTAGAAATTGTTTAAAGAAAAAGATTCAGAAATAATAAACTTTATTACATATTTTTCCATTGGAATCACCTTTACATTGCATTAGATTTCTTGCAGTATGGTCCTTGTCTTGTGATGGGGGCCCAAGTTGGGTTGCTGAGGTCTAGAGTGGAAAAACCTCTCTTTGGATTTGAACTTGAGATTCAAAAACATAATGGATAAAACTTGGCCACAAGGCTACAAATTCTAGCTCCTTGTGATTTGTAAATTGAGCCACTCTAAGCTTAAAATTCCTCATCTGTAAAATAGGATTACTAATTAAACCAACCTCCTGTTGTTAAGTGCTGTGGAGTCGGTTCCGACTCATAACTTCTCCGTATAGGGTTTCCAAGGAAGGTTACAATGTTTTCTAGTGCACAACTGGAGTACTGGTGTGTGCTGTAGGGTGAGCACTTGACTGCTAACCACAAGGTCGGCAGTTCAAAACCACCAACCGCTCCTCAGAAACTATACAGGGTCACTATAAGTTAGAACTGACTTCACAGCACCTCACAACAACAATGCATATTTTTTAATGTGGTGGCTGTGTGCTACTGGGTTGGTTCTGACTCATAGTGATCTTGTGTAAATCTTTACAGGAGCAGAAATTCTCATCTTTCTCCCGCACATTGACTGGTAGATTCAAACTACTGACCCTGAGGTTAGCAGCCCAGATTGTAATCAACTGATTTAAAATACAAATGATTTAAAGTCCTTAAAATTTTAAATATTTTTAAATAGCCACTTACAATAATCACAGAGTTATGACTCTACTAACCTAGAGTATTACAACATATAAATGAAACAGGTGACCTAAGTTATGGATTATAAATAAAATACCTAAAATGATACAGATTATAAATACCTAAAATGATACGGATTATAAAGAAAATGCTTAAGTACGATATGAAACAAATCAGGTTTACCCTAAGTAAATCAACCTAGACATAAAATTTTATTTAAGATGTGCACCACAAATTCTGATAAAGTATCCTACCACGGTCACTAATGTATGTTGGGCCACTCATCTGACCTTAGTGATTGTAAAGTTTTAATGAAAAGAGAGATTTGTGGCTTACTTATCATCTCTCCCCTAAAATTTCAGTAACACTTCACTAGACCTCAAAGATGGAAAACTTTGACTTTGTTTAGTAGTTTTCACTAGTCTAAAACTTGTATTCTGAGACCCAAAGCCTAATACTCTTTCTTATTATAATTAGTATAAGACATTGTTTTTTTTACAAAGCTTCTTTTTCTTCCTTTATCCTTAGGTTTTGGTGATGATGTTGTTAAGTGCCGTCAAGTTGGTTCTGACCCGTGGCGACCCTGTACTGGGTTTCCGAGGAGCGGCTGGTAAGTTTGAACTGCCAACCTTGTGGTTCAAATGTCTTTACAGTTCAATGCATTAACCCACAACTCCACACCAGGATGGTAATTATGGCGGTATCCAAACTTCAGAGTCATTATACCTAGTGTGGGATTTGGGGGAAAGACCCTCAGTCCAACTTCAATAAGCCCTATTTGTCAAGACTGAGTTCCTAACGAATCATTTAAGGTGTTTTCTTGTTTTCACTCTTGTCTCCTTATCCATGAAAGTAAAAATTATATTTTAAAAAATGTATATTGGGCTTCATTATATCTTGACCCTTAAAATGCTTCAACAACTTCCCGTTGCACTTAGAATAAAAGCCAAACACTCACCTTCTTCTGTAATGCCTCTCATGAGGAACCTCTGCCTAACTCTCCAACTTCATCTCCAGCCAATCACCCTATTTCTCAGGAATCTTCAGTCACTCTAGTGATACAGAAGTTGCCTCAGGGACTTTGCTTATGCTGCTGCCTCTTAACAACAGACAGCTTCACCTTATTCTTTAGTCTGAAGACCCCTTTTTTCATCAGATACTGTAGTCCAGATTATTTCCCCCTCCTCTTCAGCTCCCAGACTAGATGAAGTAAACATGTCTCCAAAAGTGCAAAGTTTAAGGAGGCGTTCCTCTCAGGCACCTCACCCTAGTTCCCTCTCTGACCCTGCAGGAGTGTTGGTGGTGTGACAGGTCTCAACTGAGTCCTTTAGGAATTGCCCTCTTCAAGATCTTGGTCCTTCCTGGGAGTGGGGGAGGCATGCCCATCTGATGACAGGTTGATTTAGAGTACAAGATGGGTCCCTTTGGCCCCATTTGGAACAAAGTTGATTGAAGGGTACCCTTCCCAGACTCAGAGACCCTTGTGGATTTATTTAGCCTAAGCCTTGCTTTGCTGCTGTGCTTTGCAGTTCAGCTTCCCTCTCAGCTTTCTTTACTTCCCACCAGTGTTGGTTTCAAGAATATTATACTCAAAACTTCCTGCAAGAAAATACATATCTCAAGGGTTAACCTTCCTGGCAACACCTTTCCTGACTTGTTAGTGTCTGAGGAGTCAGCCAGACTGCTGGTGACCCAAAGGACCTCCTTTCTTACTCCCAGTTGCCATGGTTACTCTCTGTCTTATCATTCTATTTCTTTGTTCACATTTCTGTTTATTGTCAATGGCTGTTTCATAACTGCTCTGCTCCCCCTCTTTCAGGGCATTTCTGGGTATCGTTCCCATAGGCCAGAGGTGGGGAAGCTTTTTTTTGCTAAAATTTATAACATCATTTGCGGGCCATACAAAATGATTAACTTAAAAATTAGCCTGGAATTTTAGGTCAAATGTTTAATTAACTCACCTCTAATGTGATGGCTGGACTTCTGATGTGGTGCTGTGGATCAGCATTGGACTGCGAACTACAAGGTCGGCAGTTCAAACCCACCAGCTACTCCTTAGAAACACTATATGGGGTCACTATGATTTCGAAATGACTAGACAGCGCATAACAACAACAACAATGTGATGACTGGAACTGCAGTTGCCTTGGCAGGGCCAGGCCAAATTCTTTCAAGGGCTTTATATGGCCCACAGGCTGGACATTCCCCATAGGCCCCAATCTTTATCTAATAAGATAAATGCAGCAAAAACAGAAACTGGCAGATTGAGGTGATGCAACCTGTCATGCATAGTCAGGGCTTATAAACCTTTAAAGTTCACAGGAAATGATCTCTTACTGTCAGATAGAGGCAGGTGGAACCCCTGAGACTTTAGTCACCCTTCAGGCCTGGAACTGAGTTTTTCCCTTGATTCAACTTTCAGCCAAACAACAGACAGGCTAATAATATGAACAGTAACACCAGGGAGTATGTATCCCTTGGAAGAAGATACCAGAAGCGATCAAAAGGGCAGCATTTGCCCAGGGATAAAACCCAGATGATGGGAAGGGCTTGGGAAGTAGGCTGGATGAAAGGGAATGGTCAACACAGGAGGAAGTAGAGTGTTGCTACCTTGTGGGGACAGCAGTTAATGTCACACGTCACAATATGTATGAATTGTTGAATGGAAAACCAATGTGAGCTGTAAACTTTCACCCAAATCACAATACAAAGTGAAAGAAAGAAATCTCTTCCTATGGCATTTCACTGTGGTGAGGACACATTTGCGGCAAGGTGTACCTTTTGGTACCCTGGTCTGACATATGACATCATATATCATGCCACCTATCTGATGTGGCTCTGTACGATCAGCAGTGAACTATAAACCAGAAGGTCAGCAGTTCAGACCCACCAGCTGCTCCATGGAAATCCTATACAGGGTCACTATGAGTCGGAACAAACTTTATGACACTTAATAATGACAGCAGTTCTGGCCATTCAAGTTCCCAGGCTGTGTTTGTCACAGAGACCGGAGCCCCTATTTGAAATAAAATGGCCCTCAGAGAACAGGGATGATGCCCTTTTAAGGATGCCTGCTACTTACTCAGGAAGACCACAGTGTTGCTGAAGGTTGCCCTTTTGTATCTGTACCATGAATTGCATGAAACAAACTCCACAATGTCTAAGACCAATCACTGTGGCTCATCAAAAGGTTTTATGGGAATTAAAAAAAAAAAAAAAACTTGCTAAGTAATGGGTTCATAAAAGAAAATCACATTACTTATTTTATGAAACAGCACCGCTGCGGAAGCCAGGGTAGCGTGACCACAGAGAGGGACCTCACTGGCAGGCGTGAACCACCTTAATCCAAAACAGGAACCTTTGGAGGAGGAAAAAGCAATGAGAGGTGAGATCATTTCCATGTAAGTAGCCTGCAAATATTACACTTTCTTATTCTTGCCTAATTTTTTTCACTAGTATGCAATTAATAGCTTAAATATGTCATAAAAGGAGGTGCAAAGACTAACTAGCATGCTAGAGTATTCCAATAGTAGACCTGGAGCTGAAAATTTAAATGAACCAACACCTTTTCCCACACCCCATTCTCTATACCCACAAACTAAAAACCAAACCAAATCTCCCCTCCACCTAATACCTGCAAGCAAATAATAAATGGGCATTTCCCGTAAACTTTTTCCCTATCTAAAAAGCTGCTTCTGGTGTCATTCAGGAATGTTAAGGGGAAAAAATGCTCATTTACTTTGTGTAAAGCTGTCAGTTGGGTTCAATTTTCGGATAAAAGCTGTTTCTGAGAGGTTCATTTCCCTTGCAATTTTTTGATGCATGTCTTCATCCAGTTTCTAAATTAGAAACAAAAGGTTATTAAGACTCCAGAAATACAAATCCTACTTTCTTGGAAAGCAACTACTATTAATTAATAAAGCATTTTATTAATATTAAAAATAACATATTTACCAAGTTAAGTCAAAAAGAATTGCTACTAGGGTTCCAGTTCATACATGCATGGGTTTGTTTAAAATAAAATATGTTTAAATAGGTCTCTGAAATCAGTGGATGGCTGTAGACAAGTTCCCTCAGTAATACACTTACTTGTCTTAGTCTCATTAGGGTGCCTTCAAAAAAAGGTACAATGAAAACAGTGACTTCCTAGAGGATCTGTTGCACCAAGTTCAATTCAAGGCAGAGAAAGAGATCAGCTCAGAAGGTTTTGGTGACTATTTTTCATGATTCCAAACAGCTAGATTTACTCAAAGAACACAGAATGATCATAGGGGCTTACTATGAAGTTTTAAGAAAATTGAAAATTACACTGGTGTGATAACTAAGGTTTTGTGTCAGCTTGAATGGACCAGGATTCTCAGTGGTTGAATGGACCAGGACTCTCAGTGCTTAAATGGACCAGGACTCTCAGTGGTTGGGCAGTTTGAGATGTAACTAACCCTGTAATGAAATCTAATCTGATCTGATTAATTCTATGATGTTGCTTGCTCGCTGCTGGGTCTTGCAACTGGTTCATCCTCCAACCTCCAATTCCTCTGACAGGAGCTAGTGCCCTGCTTTCTTGCCTGTCTGCTTGTATGCATGCATGCATACCTGACTGCCTGCCTGCCACTTGAACTTTTGATCTTGGTTCATGTGACCCAGACTTCAGAGTCTCCCACCTCTACAACTGTGTGAGCCATTTCCTTAATAAAAACGTCTCTCTCTCTCTCTATATATATACATATGTATATATATATATAAGTTTCACTGGCTTTTTTCTCTTGAGAACCCAGCCTAAAGCATTTGGTAATAAGAGTGATTCTAGAGAAACAAAACATTAAGGATGGATTTTCTAAATTGGTTCTCAAGTCTGACTAGTTTTAATGGCACTGATAACTATGCTTCTGGTAGTGAGGTGGTAATGTTAATATCACCACCTGTAGATCAAGTACTGATGACAAGCAAGACTCTGGTGATCATGTATTTGGTACTTTTCTGAAATTTTATCAGGATGAGAAATACAGGGAAGCTGGTTTGTCGATCCTACTAACAACAGACCAAGTGGTAAAAGAAACACCAGCTCAGGCCTTCAGAGTTACAGCTCAGGTGACATATATTGTTGTTGTTAAGTGCCTTTGAGTTGGTTCTGACTCATAGCGACATTGTATGTTTCCAAGAAGCGGCTGGTAAGTTTGAACCACCAGCCTTGTGGTTCAAACCGACCTTGAGGTTGAGTGCTTATCCTTGGCACTACACCACCACTACATTTAAGAGACCTCAAAGTTTCCATCTGTGTCCTGAAAGAGAGGCATATGTCTTGCAGTAACAGAGCTGATACTATCAAAACCAAAACCCAGAGTCTTTCCGTAAGAGTGGCTGAATTACAATGCCAACTGAATTAATTTCCAAATCTTGAATGGTGTCTGATGGTAAAGTGAGGACACTGATTGAAAAGAAATGGGATCCTGAACTTGAGAATGGGGACATATGGTACACAGATGATCAGGAAGCTGGGATACTGTAATGATCAGGGATTTGTGTCACCTTGACCAGGTCAGGAAATCCAGAGGTTTAGCAGTTGCGATGTGCTCATTCCCGTGCGGATGCAACCTAATAGAGACATAGTTGGCTCTCTAGTGAATGACTGTGAGCAGTCAGTCAGTTAAAGGGATGCTTCCTTGGGGGTGTGGACTGGTCCCAATATAATGGACACATGGGAGGGACACTGTATCTCTCTTCCGCTGGGGACCTGGAACTCTACAAGTGTAAGATAATAAACTTCTCTTTATATGTACACATATATGTTTCACAGATTTTGCTTTTCTAGAAAACCTAGCCCTAGACAGACATTGAGCCCCTAAATTCTGTCAAATTACTCTTGCCAACAGCGTCACCCCTCCCACCTGAAGAGATTACTCATCTTTGTTTTATGATCCATTACCAGTGAAACACTAGATAAAATTAATCCAACTGTGCCTATGGAGATGATGCCTGAGGCATTGTCTGGGGCATAACCTAAGGTAAATGTCTTACAAGACATTGTTGAACGTCACCAGGAAACACCTCCATCAATTATTGTTTCTAGACCTATAACTAGACTTAAGTCCCAGCAAGCCCCAAAATGTGAAGTGCAAATTGTGACCCAGGAAGAAGTCTGCTATACTCCAAAAGAACTGGTTTTCTAATATGTGCAAACAGAAACCAGGAGAATATGGGTGGGAATTAATATGTGTTCCATACTTGTGCATGGAACACAGGGTTGGATCATTCTGAGTTTATTGGTTTGGGCCCACTCTGCACAGATTCTTCATTCAATGTTTCAGTTCCAGAGGTTAGAAGAGGATCATGTGAGTCATTTCCTTGATATCATACTTCTCTTTATATATACATAATATGTTTCATTGGTTTTATTTCTCTAAAGAACCAGTCCAAGACAATTGGTAAGAAAAAGGCCAGGAAAGTTGCATCATGACAATTCTTCGAGGATAGTAAGGACAGTCCTATGAGAATTTTGTTGGGAAACATTCACTCGCCCGTGCTATAGCCCTGATCTTGCCTCTTCAGACTTCATTTTGTTCCCAAACCTCAAACATTTCAAAGGAACACTATTTGAATCCCTTGAGGATGCCAAAACTGCTATTTGGCATGGTATAAATAAAAAGTTGTCTTATTTTTAAACAGGAAAACCTGTGACTTTAATTTTTCTTTTATTTGATTAGAAGATTTGTGTGGTATATAAACATGAAATCTCCATATATTTCTTTCTTAATATGAATCGGCTCTCCTGCAGACACAGTGTGCCTATCATACGGGCAACCACGAAGACAGGCAAATTTTCTCTGGGGGAGAAAATCCATCAGCACAAAGTAACTTTATAATGATTCATCAGAACAGCAGTTCCGAGTTGGGCTGCTAACCTCAAGGTCAACAGTTAGAAATGACCAGCTGTTCTGCAGGAGAAAGATGAGGCTTTCTGATCCCATAACCATTTAAAGCCACAGAAACCCTATATAGGATCACTATGAGTCGGAATCGACTCCACGGCACACCACCACCACCTCCGTCCATACTTCTTCCCAATAATAAAGACAAAAAAGTACTATCCCTTTAATGTGCCTCCTATGGGAAAACCAAAGTTTAACCAGTGTAAATGCACTCCCACAAGGTTTCTGAGGGAATACAGTAATCAGTCAACTAAAAAGTACAATTCTCACCCCTATAAAGTGATTCTAGAACTTTATGACTACAAGTGTGTTGCCTGGGCCTGCAGCGTCAGCATCACCTAAGAATTTGTAAGATGTCAGAGTCTTAGGCCCTCCTCCAGACCTTCTGAATCCAATTCACCAGCCTAACAAGAGTCCCAGGTGTTTGTATGCACATTAAAGATTGAACAGCACTGTTACATAACACATGGCCCAGTATCCAAGAGGCTTAGCGTCTAACTGGGGAGTTAAGACAAACACAGAAAGCGACACTGAGCAACACCAGAAAGCATTTAATTGAAGCACCACTGAATACATACAGAGCTGAGATTTGGACTATAAAATCTCTAGGACTTTAAAGATGGAGGCTTGAGACAGACCTAGAAAAGAGGGTGAGTTGGACAGGAAATGGGCTTTGTACTAGGGAAACTTCTGCTCAAGTTGCTTGATCTCACTTGTGCTCTCCTGTTAAATCAGAGGTTGAACTATAACTCCCTGATAGTCTAGGATTCAGAGCCAAGGTAAAAGGAAATAGAAAGGTAATGATGAAGTGCCTGAGCATCTGTCACACCTGTGGCCACCTACGGGCATAGGTGAGGGAGAATGCCCACCTGACTGGGGTGGGAGGCTCTTGAGGAGTCCCAGCCAACAAGACAATGATAGTAAGAACGGAACTCATGCTCTCTGTGGAAACCTGTCCACATGCACACCTTCTGAAGGAAACGTGGCGCTATCTAAGTCCCTAGCCTGGCGTCTCCAATCACAGGGCTCTACAGGAATTGAAGGGATAAGTAAGAAACCTTTACTGATCTTACTGGACTTGCCACCTTGGCTGCAGGAACCTGTACTGCCCGCCACTCCATCCTCTATCGGATCTGGCCAAACTCCTTATCTTTCTCCTTCCTTTCTTTGTCTATTGTATCCCACTACCTTAAAGGGAAGTCTTTAAAAACATTGTTGCTGTTGTTACTAAGTGCTGTCAAGTTGGTTCTGACCCATAGCGACTCTGCATAGGGTTTCTGAGGAGTGGCTGGTGACCTTGAACAGCCAACCTGTGGTTCAAATCAACTTTTCAGTCCAGGACATTACCCCAAAGCATTCCAAAATGTAGCAAAGCTCACCATGTGTTGGCAATAGATTTCTTTGCAACTGGGCTTTCTTGCACATCATCTAGAACGCGTATTTCACTGTACATCAGCTTCTAATCCTCTCTACACTGATGAATTGCACCCACTGCAATTTGAATTTCTATAGCTGTGATTTCTGTCCTAGGATGTTTAGAAGGCACCTAAGGCATCAGAGACAACAGGAAAGTTTCAAAGTAGTAACCCCACGTATGCACCAAAGGTAGCTGGACTTCCACTGAATTTCTACACAGGAACCAAAGGTCAAAAGAGTGGTAAATCATGAGAAGGCTAGCATTGTGAATACACCTCTGACTTGAGGCCTTAGAAGCAACAGACAGAGATGGTATTCATTCAGAATACTGCATTTTAGCTCCAATAATCTTCATGTTACACTACAAGTTTATTTTCAAATGCTGCCTATAACATTTACAGGCCAGCAACAATTGTTAATTCTCTTGCTTTCATACCCGTTTTTCTTTGGCAATTTCATGTGAGTCAAATTTCAAAAGTACAAACAGGGTCATGTTT